ATACTGACAACTAAAAGCCAGTAAGATGCTGAGGATACAGCTAAAAACAGAGGTGATAACACAAGAAAAGAGCTTGACACAGGCCAAAGCCAAAACAAATAAACAAACAAACAAAAATTAAGGCTGTATTCAGATAAACCACCGAAGGAGAGAGAAAGGAACTTCTCTGGAAAGCTGACAAGGAGAAAACATTTAAACAAATCAAAGAGGCTCTGACTCAGGTACCAACCTTAGGACTATCAGATATAACCAAGTCTTCCTATATGTTCATAAACAACAATCACAACAACAACAGCAGCAATAAATGACTGTGGGAGTCTTAACCCGAGTCATGGGATCCTGGTATAGTCCAACGGCATACTTGTCAAAACAGTTAGACTCTGTAGCCCTAGATGGCATCTATGTATTAGGACCCTTGCTGCCACTGCCTTGCTGATGCAAGAGGGTTTCAAGCTGACTTTGGGACAGCAACTGACCATTCCACACTTAGTTATAACATTAATGGCCCAGAGAAGACACTGTTGGTTGTCAAATCTGAGGATTACTTTGTATCAAGGACTCTTGTGTGAAAGTCCACCTATAACTCTGGAGACAACGAATATCCTTTGCCCAGCTACCTTGCCCACAATCAAACTGGGAGTTCTGCTGCATGACTGTATGATTATGCTAGATGGGGTCTAAAAAACAGGATATGCAATGGTGATTCCAGACTCTGTGGCAGAGGTCCACTTTATCTTTTCAGCACAATGTATATGTATGAAAACTGATGAGCTGATACGATTTTATTTGTATGTTTATCCAAGTACACCACTTCTCCAAATTTTGTCCTTTCAAATTCTAAGTGTCAGGGGCTTCCTTTCACTTGGACAGAATTTTACTTTCCTTTTCTTTTCCTCTTTCCATCCTATTCCCCATAGTCATGATTCTTTTACACTTTTACTATAGTTCCAGTAGCATATTTACACGTCACAAAAGCTATCCCTTACTCTTATTCCCTTTTCTCCTTTAAATAGTCAATCTTAGTTTAATCTTGAATGGTAAAAAAGAGAAACTATCAGTGAAGCAACAATCAGGAAAATAATTTTCCTTCATTACCTCAGTAAACATTCATGAATAACACAGTTGAAATATGTTTGGTCTTGTCTATGTTTCTTTTTAATTTTAAAATGAAAAAAACAAACACACTGAAACATAATTTCAAAACAACATAATAGATTAACAATGGCTAGTATATTACATATTGTTATCTTCAAAGTAGTTGCTCAGAGGCATGAAAAAATAAACAATGAAAGCACAGACAATTCTTTTTGATGAACTAACAGAAATTAGTGGTATAGCTATCATATATATATATATATATATATATATATATATATAATCTTTTCCCTTCTTTTCTCCTTTCATCCCAGTTGTTCTTTCCTTTTGAGCAGTTTATTCCTCTTTCACTTTTACAATATCTATTGTCTGCTTATTTGCTGGAAAAGAAATGGTGCAGGATATTGAATTTATTCTTTTTTTTTGGTACAGGGGATCAGACTCACAACCTCACCCTTGCCAGGCAGACACTTATGCCACTGAGCCAAAACCCCAGCCCTTTGAATCTATTCTTAAATCCAAGGAATTTCACTCCAACAGTTGACATGATGCAATCATTAACACTGAAGAAATGTGTATCTAGCCAGAATCCTGTTACAAAATATTTTAAAATTCCTAACCTTATGCAAAATATTTGTATCCAAGTAAAAATCACATTTGAATTTTTCCTGACTTGACTTATGATTTTGTTATCATTGCTGTAAAAAACATACCAACCACATGGCTTTCATTCATTCCCAACTATGTAAGTTTTCTGTTCTAAATGACAAATGGGAGCTGGCATCCCTTATCTGCTTCTAATAATGGAAACTGTTCCTCCTTAAAAATAATAAAGAGAGATTGTGAATGACAGAACTTTTACTTTCTCCAAGTCCTGTATCATAACAGCAGATTATGAGCATGGAATTTTGGAGCATTGCTGAGATGCACTGATCTTCAGAGTAATTTGAAAAAAGTCTAGGCCATAATTTCCTTAAATTTCACTTCTTTGAAACAAAATCTATTGTGTAGGTAGGAGAAAATGGAAATCTAAACTGCAAACATTCTAGCAGATGGTGATATCATGTAGGAGAGACTCTTTCTTAACTAAGATTATATCACAAGAATACCATGGTATCTGTGCACACATCTTTCCACCTCAAGCTTAATCAGATTCTCAAGTACAAGTGAGGGGAATTCAGATTGCACCAGTGTGAGGTTTACGAAGTCCTTAGAAACCATTGGATGTTTATTCAACTTCTGTGCATACTGGTCCTAGGAGCAGGACTATTATTAGTAACTTATAGTGCAGATGGCTTAAATTCTGTAAGATGCACATTTTCAGGTAATTCAGAAGCTTAAAGTATTTAAAGTAATATGCCAATTATAAAGAAATCAAATTTGTTCATTTAAATGGGTCCTGGGAGACTTTTCCCTTACTAAAGGCCAGGAAGCTGTTCTTTCTAAAAGAATAATTGAATTCCATGAATTGATTTCACCTTTGCACCAGTTTATTGGTGAGATATCTTTTACCACATATTGTGCCATTTGATTATGAAGACTTCCCTCCTCAGCACCTGAAGTCCTGTAAGGATCTTAGAGCTTTAAAAAACTGATGGAGATCACCGCACTGCAGGATTTTCAGACTTTATTGGCAAGTGGCACTGAATGTGGTAACAAGAGGTAGAGTTAGTTGCTACACAAACCAGCAGGGCGAACAGTTTTGTTTGTCAAGGTTTAATGTGCTCCAAAATGATAATGTCTAACATCTTTCTTGCTGCCATTACTTTCCTCAGAGCATCCATATTCAAGGAAGTAGTTAGGGAGGAATAGTATCAAGAGAGACAGAAGAAAACTGCTTACAGCCTTATCAGTAAATTTATCATGAGAGTTTTCTGACTTCATTTCCAAGAAATTTTTCATTCTTTACTATTTCAAAGCAATACCGTTCCAAATAAAAAATCTTATTATACTTTTTAAAAAGATATTTTAAGATTCCTTCTTTTATTAATGTTTGTTGTCTGGTTTTCAGTAACACAAAAAACTAGATTTTGTTGCTTACTTATAGTTACAACTTATTTTTAAAGTTCCTGGATAATTAAGCTATTCAATAGAATAAAAATTTTTTCACTTTGATAACACAGATTCCTTGATAATAATGGTTTGATCTATATCCCTTTTATTGAATTCATTTGTCCCTTCCTTATATACCTATAAACTTTGTTATACTGCTAATGCAGTGTTCATTCTAAGCTACAGCAACAAGAGTAGTGAAGCCGGTATTAGAATACCTGTCTTTATATTTATTGTTATTTAGCAGCTTTGTGATTTTATTGCTTTAATGACAGATTTTGTGTTGCTGCTAAGTGTGAATCAGTTTGGCACATTGTTTGTAAACCCAAGGTATGAGAGCTTTACAATAGTTTATTGGTGTGGAGAAGACTGGATACAATGTCTGAAATGCAAAATTTTAGACAAAAGGTCACTATATGTCTGAATAAATTAAACTTCCTATAGAGCCTCAGTTGCTTCATCTGAAAAATAGATATAATGAAGCCTCACCACAAGATTATCTAAGAGTTAACTGAAATATGGTATGTGAAGGAGTGCAGTTCAGTGCTTGGAAAATGGAAGGTCTTAAGTAATGTTTCCTTAAGTTGAAATGCTCTGTACACTCGCTCCTCTGAATTCAAACCTGCATATTCTTATTCATATTTTAAGAAATAGCCCAAAATGCACTACTTTACAAAGTCTTTCCAAACAGCTTGAGACAGGATAGTTAATCCTTTGTTTGAGTATTGATTTTTAAAATTTTTTTTATTTTAAAGACATTAAGACAAAAGAAGACATAACAAAGCAGATCAGATCAGAACAATGTAAGCACCACAGCATTTTATCACAAAACAACCCATAATTAATAGTAACTACCATAATGTCTCTTTCTTTGAAATAGTTGAGCATAACTTCATATACAATAGTATCAAACATAACAAAATAGTATAAAACCATTCAAGAGAATGAAAATATTACAGGGCATTCAGAACCAAATAACAGAGAATGAAGAATGGCTACTATATTATCACATTTTCCATGGAAAATTAAGAGTATTGATCTTAAAAAGAAAGAGTACTGGTCTTACCCAGAGCGTGAAGGTGTATCCCTCTAATCCCAGAACTGTGGGAAGCTAAGGTAGGATGATCACAAGACAATGTAGCAATTTAGCAAGACTTTGTCCAAAAAAATTTAAAAAATTATAAAAAAAGGGGGTGGGGATGTAGCTCAGCGTAAATGCTCTGGGTTCAATCCACAGTACTGAAAAGAAAAAGGTATTGGTCTTTTGGAATCAGAAGACTCCCAAATTTAAAACCACGGCTGACATGTAGTAGTTCTATGCTCTTACAAAAGTTCTTTGTTTTCTTTATATCCAGATAGTCATATATTATATGATATCATTATAGTACATACCTCATAGTGTTCTGCAGAATTGAGATATGCACATAAAACATTTGCACTGTCTCTAGTGATTAGTAAGTCCTCTATAACTACTACACTGTACAAGTAATAGAAAGTTCACTTTTTGTTTGGTAAAATGTTAATAAAAATACTAAGCCTCTCTGGGTTGTGGCAAAGTTCTAAGCTAAAAATTTCTTAAAACTGTAATACTGAACAAACAAACCGATATTCGTGCTACTTGAGATGTTCTGGGCGAAGTTCTAATCTCATTTTTATAAAATTGCTTCAAGTGCTTGCACTGACTGTAACAATATCAGGTTTTAGTTAATAGAAACTTAAACCAAAAGGTACAGCTCTCAGATACAGTATTAAGATCAGCACTTGCAGACCGGACTTCCATAATTCCCTGGAGTTCACCTCTAAGGGCCCCCTCCCCTTGCAGCCGCGCAAGCGTAGAGCGATTTGGTTGTCTCCTTCTTGCCCCCGCCTCCAACATACCCCTCTCCATCTGCCCCAAGACGCAGGCGCGTCTCCTGAAGTCAGGTCCCAACGTCTCTCTCCTTTCTTATTCCGTTCCCCCTCCTCCTCCTGCACCGCTGCAGGTTCAAACTCACTTTGGCGAGAGTGGCTGCGATCACGAGATCACGTGATGAGCATCCTGCTACCCAACATGGCGGAGTTCGACACCATCTCGGAACTGGAGGAGGAGGAGGAAGAAGTAGCAACGTCGTCGTCGTCGCCGTCGTCGTCGTCGTCGTCGATGTCTGGGCCCGACGATGACGAGGAAGATGATGAGGAGGAGGAGGAAGAAGTGGAGGAGGAGGACGACGACGACGAAGAGGAAGGGGTAGAGGAGGAGGCGCCGCCCCCACCTCGCGTAGTGAGCGAGGAGCATCTGCGGAGATATGCCCCTGACCCTGTATTGGTGCGGGGTGCCGGCCATATCACTGTGTAAGCGACAAGGGGCCGTGGGATTTGAAAAAGCCGAGATTTGGCGACAGAAAATAAGGTGATGAAGGAGAGAGGAGGGGGGAGGGGTGATTGAGCCGAGCAGTTAGGAAAGGACATCTGGTCTAAAAGGAGAAGCCGTTAGGGAATAGATGTGAAGGAAGTGAGGAGAATGTGTTAATATACCTAATGCAAGTTTAGAGTGAGGATAAGACTGCTAAGTTAGGGGTTTGAGAGCCAGAGGCACTGGGTTGGAGGTGAGTCTTCTTTTTTTGTGTGTATGCTGTCAGACAATAGTCTCTAAACCGCAGGGTATATGAGAGGATTCTTTCCTGCCACGATAAGAGTCTAGTGGAAAACAGTGACTGATGTGACAGGTGACAAGAATTAGACTTGGATTTCTGAAAACAGATATATTTTATGACTATTATTAATATCCATTAACTCACATATTCATCCATCCCTTCCTATCTAATCTTTATCATCCTGTCCTTGTTTAGAGCACTCTGAACGTTCCTTAAATATTACACCATTAATGGTTCAGATTGTTAAGTGCTGTAGCTTCAGGAGTCTCTGATGCTAGTCAGTTTTACTTTTTCTTGGCAACCGTGGTGAGTTGCTTCCTATTTTTGGGCCCAGATCTGTCTATCTGTAAAATGAGGCGTTGAAGCAGATTTTAATTGGTATATGTTTGGGATACATAATAATTACATTCATCTTGGGGAGTTGTTCATAAACATTTTTAAAAAACCTTTCAGCTCTGAGGTTATTTAAGATACTTTCAGGGGATTTTGTGTATGCCAAATACTAAATTTACAGAAATTAAATATATATAGAAATTAGTCTTCCAGGAGCTGAGGATGACTTACTGAAAATTCATACAGGGTAGCATTTTTTTAAACAAATGGAAATCTTGTATCATATTTGAGAAAATAAAATGGAGAGGGGTGCTTCACAAGACTGGTTGCAAAACAAGAAGAAAAAAATGTCATTTCTCTGGTCTTTGAAGAATGCTTCCACATTTTAAAAAAATATTTTAATACTAAATTTATTGAAACGCCATGAAATTAATACATGTTATCTTTGACTCCTATAATGACAACAGGTGCTCAAAGTGGTCACCAGTAGTTTCTAGACATTTATTAGTATGGTAAACTGCTGCTTAGGTAACCTTGGTCATTGAGATTGCTGCACGTGCATTTTCAGTTTTTTCTCTTAGGGCCAGCAGTGTAGTGGGTTTTCTGCCATACATGACATCCTCTTTAGTCCCTCCTACAAGGAAAACACCATCTGTTGAGAAACATTTCATATGTAATATAATATATAATAATGTATAATATAAATTTATGTATAGTATATAATAATATGGTATATAATATATTCTATGGATATATATATAATCACACATATATACTTGCACACACCTGTAGAGTCAGAGGTGGAAAAGTGTCATATATAATACTATGGTATATAATATATTCTATGGTATAATAAATACAACATTATATATGGAAACGCAACAACATATATGTAAACACACACATGTATATATGTAGAGTCAGATGGCCTGCACTTTTTTATTGAATTAGAAATATTGGAAGTTTGAGTATTTGGTTATGTTCATTCTCTTAACTATGTTTTATTGCATTTTCAAAGTAGGTCTGATCTTCCCTATTATGCTGCCTATAATTTTGATGATGGCTCAACTAGACCCTCTGATTTTCAGTTGAGTTCATATTCTACAAAATCATCTAGTATGCACTACCTGCTCCATTGTTAGCTTTTAATTTTTTTAACGTTTGAGATTTTAACTGTGATATTTTTGTAACCTTTACATGAAGCGTATTAACAAAGATTTTGACATTGTAGAAGGATTTAAAAACACTTTTAGGCCTGTTTTTTTTGATTAGACAATTTAAAGAAAATTGTCCTTAGTCCAAGAATTTTGCAGGTAGCATACAATGTTCAGGTGCCAGCATACCATGGTGTTCTACATTTGTTCCTTTAGGTAAAGGGAGAAAATATATTACTCAAGCTACTGTAATTGATTATTGTAAAGAAGATTTCTTTCATGTAGTTATTTTACATAACCAGAGCAAAGTTATCTTATTACAGTCTATAATTTTTTTTACCTTTACTGAGGATCAAACTCATGACCCCAGGCTTGCAAGGCCTGTGCTTATGCCGCTGAGCTAAATCCCCAGCCCTACAGCCTATAATTGTATTCTGCAGCATTCCACCTCCACCATTTATTTTCTAAAGTTCAGAGAGTAGGGAAGGAGCAGAAAGCAGAAATTAAGTTCACTGAAATTTATTAGTAGTTCTGTACTCTCTGTACAACCATGGTGTAGTACTTACCAATTTATTTTCTTCATTAAAAGCAGAGTACTAGCACTTGGTATACCTTGACCCTTGTGAGAAGTGTAATGTCCTTCCCAAAGTAAAAATTCTGGAGTTACATTTCTGAACAGATAGTTTAGTTGATTGAAACCAAAACTGTAAAATCCCTGGCCAGTTCTTGGATCACTAGACAATGTGCCAAATTTGGAAACTTATTTAGTCTTATTGTATACATTTTTCACCTAGAAAGCACATTTGATGTTAAATGTCTGAGATTTGAAGAAATAATTAAAATTTTAGGAAGAGTTTTTTTTTTTGAATTTGAGAAAGACTTTCTTAAATCAGGTGAAGTAATTTTTTTTTGTTTTTTGTTTTTTTCCTTTTTATCGGTACCAGGGATCAACTCACGACTGCCTGCTTGCAAGGCAGGCACTTATGCCACTGAGCTAAATCCCCAGCCCCAGGTGAAATAATTTTCTTCGGAAATCCCCAGCACTGCAAATATAACAGCAATAAAATATCAGTTTTTGTTTAATTTTTTTCTGGCACAGGAGTATTTGAGTTGTCCTCAACTATATGCCCTATTTGTTTTTGTTTTTTATGATGCCAGAGATTGAAACTAGGACTTTGCCTGTGCTAGGAAAACACTGTTATCATTGAACTACATCCCCAGCCCTATTCCTCTCTGAATGAAGTATTTCTTTCTCTCAATCCTGATGTTATTCCATTCTCTGTGCAGTGTTTATTCTGTAGAGGACTTTGTTTTTTGTCAGTTTAAAATGTGAGTACCATGACTAGTTGTCACACATTTCAGAAATCTCAAAGAAAATATTTTGAAGGTTTTTACTGTGAAGAAGTGATAGATGTTTAAGGTGATAAATACATTTAACATGATTCAAACTCTATTAAACCCAACAGTTACTTCCTTTCCACATTGGCTGTTTCTAGTTACTCCATTTCTGATCCTAGTACAACCATTCTGATATATCTCTCAGGTTAATATTTAAAATCTTTGAATTATATCAGCTCTTGTTTCTCCATGAATTACCCTACGTCCATCTTTCCTAGAACTGTGTCATCATTATGTTTTGAAATGATTCTTAGATTTTTTTTTCATTTTCTTCACTCGTACTTTTTTTTTTTTTTTTGTCTTTTTGCTTTTTATCGGTACCAGGGATCGAACTCACAGACTGCCTGCTTGCAAGGCAGGCACTTATGCCACTGAGCTGAATCCCCAGCCCTCTTCACTCGTATTTGGCACCACTTTGATTTGAGTTGCCATTATCTTCTGCTTGAATTACTGGCAGTTTGATGCCTTTCCACATTCTAGTCTATCCTGTGTGCTTGTGTCAAACTAATTTTCTTAAAACACAATTTAATCATGTCACTTTCCTGTTTCTAACCTGCACTAAATTCCTATGCTGCCTTCTTCAGAGTTCAAGGAGTTCTTCCACTTATCCAAAATTTACCCCTCCTTTTATACCTTCTACACCTTTCTCTTCTAGCTTCTTCATAGATCTTGCACATCAGGTGGCACTTTTCTCTCCAGTATTACCTCTGTCTACCTCTTGACTAGCTCACACTATTAATGTATTTAATCTTTCTGATTTGTAAAAAAATGAAATAAGACAAAGGCCTTGCAGTATCCACATTCCCTTTGGCTATTATTTAATTTCTTTTCCTTGTCCTCCAAACTTTGTAAGAGTGGCTATGTCAACCATATTTATTTTCTCTGATCTAGCTTCTTGAACCTCAGCCACAGAAGACTTCATCTCTCTTTGAGATCACCATTATCCTCATTTTTGCTAAGTCAGTGGGCATTTTTCATTCCCTGTCTTTCTGTCCTCTATACTGCATTTGACACTTATGACTTCCTCTTTCTTGGAGACTTCTTCTCCAGAAGTCAAAAACACACAGACCTTCAGAAGTAAAACCAGTCACAGATGGTGCAGTGTAAGTAGTGATGGGACCTTAGTTGAACTGGAATGTATCTGTCTTACCTAAAGATGTTCAAATTCTAATTAGAAGAAAATAGTTGGCCAGCCAAAGGCTTCTCCTGATTCTCCTTGTACTTTTCAGGCTGTTTCTTAGCCATTTCATTCAATAGATTTCTCTTACTTTCTTGCCTCTTAATACCAGTGACTTTTATAGAGTTTTGTGCTCAGCTCTCCGCTCTTCTTTTTTCTTTGTGGATGATCTCATCTCATGGTTTCAGTTATCTGATGTCTTTCATGTATCTCTGTAGCAGACTCTGCACAGCCCTTTACTTGGACCTTTTCATTTTATGAGCCACTGTCACCTTACATTTAATGTATTTAAACAGAAGTCAGCTTCATGTACCACTCCTTGTAGCCCCACAATCTGAGAAATGCCGTCCAAATTTGTATTCTTCACCTGAGTTGAATATTTCTCCACCTACCCCATTACCCATTCTTTGTTCCCCTCCCACTCATAATTCCCACAGCTAAGACATCAGCAAATATTAACAAGTGTGTGACCTAAAAGTTCTCCTTTCCATCACTTCTATTATTCAAGATCTTCAGCACCCTGACTAGTTGTTTTGCTTCCATCTGCCACTGTTACATTCATCTGCCTCCGTGCTGTTAGAGTAAGACATCCAAGTTCAGATCTAAACAAACTGCTTTCCTACTTACAATTATTCT